GTTTTGTGTGATTCATTTCATGAAAGCTAAAGTATTTCAATATAGATTTAATACTATTGTTCCTCAGGTATACTAACAATTTCTCCCATCTGGCACACTAAAAATTGCATTGCTATTGACTTCTGGGGGTGAGGGGGTCAATTGGAGCCACCACAAGAATTCATTAAGTGGCATATGGCTCTGAAGCTACAACCTGTGCATTTCTAAATGCAAATCATGGTTTGGTGTGATGTTTCAATTAAATCAATATATTCCCAATATTGTATTCCCAATATTCTCTAGAAATTTAAGAAATGTGCTGATTAGTAATAATAATCCCAAAACAGTTACGGCGCCTCTTGAACACCATTGGCATTGACAAAATCACCATCAGTCAATTGCAAAAGGTAGCTTCACTTGGAACAGCTTACATTTTGTGATGGATACCTTTTAACACAATCAAACATCTGCCTATTGTAGGTGCTTGGGATAGGTGGATAAAATGCCAAATCCAGTCTACCATCTGGCTGACTGTGTCACCAACTGTAACAATAATGCAATATCTTTTTTCTAAAGAAAAAAAAATCATAAACAGGGCCCTAGGTATAATATATTTCAAGGCATATTGCAATGCTATAGGGCAGTGATGGTTAACCTTTCTGGTGCCGAGTGCCCAAAGTGTGCGCGATCGCGAATGCACGTGTGCGTGCCCCAATCCCCAAAATGCAATGCAAGCCCCCACCGTGCATGCACCCTGGCCCCGTGTATGCGTATGCGTTCCCCGCACTTGTGCCCCCCTGGCACATGCACCTCCCCCCCCACTTCCATTTTGGTTTCCAGGTTGGTTCTCCTGCATTTTTGCCTCCCGTGCCTTCCCCGATCTCCTCAGTTTCTCCCCCCAGCGCATGCTACCTTTCTCCTGCATTTTTGCCACAGAGAGGCACCTTCCGAGGTTGAAACATGCAGAGATCGGGGAAGGCATGGGCAGCAAAAATGCAGGAGAAAGCTAGCGCGTGCTGGGGGGGGAGAAACTGTGGAGATCAGGGAAGGTCCCATGCATGTGTGGCAGAAAGCCACTGACCAGCAGGAGGCGCGCATGCACGCGTGGTGGAGCTGGGCTGGGCGATGGCTGGCGTGCCCTGAGAGAGGGCTCTGCGTGTCACCTGTGGCACACATGCCATAGGTTCACCATCACCGCTATAAGGCATTCCCCAATAATTTTTTTTAAATGTGTGAAGGAATTATTTGACATTTGTTAAAGAGAATAACCTAACTGATCAGAACAGTTGAACTTTGCTCTCGTTTGCTTCTATTTACTGATAAATAGCCTGCTGTAAACATCTTTGAAAATAAAGATCAGAAACTTTCTTATACAGAGATATCCTTCCTTTGCGCTCAATATATAATCAAGGCTGAGCTTTTCACCAGCATGCTCATATGCTTGGGTGAAATATTTCTCATAATGTAGCAGCAGCTTTAGCTTATAATGTAAAATATATTAGCACAGCTTGCATTAGGAAACAAATTGCCTCGTCCCTTCACTAACCAAAAGTAGTCTCCAGAAGGCTATGTGTATATTTAAAAAACAAAATAAATGCAGGGGAAAGGGAGAGAATGGCTAGCTATTCTTGTCCACATCTGTTCTGGGCGGTTGTGACACAAATGTCAACATTTTCCTCTTACAAACTTCTCTTTCCCCTGCATTCTTCGTTGTAAGTGAAAACATAGCTCTTTCAAACATGTACAGCGAAAATTTTTCTGTAACATTGCTCCCAAGAGCAATGATAGATAACAAAACATTAATCAGGGCTACATCATCTGTACAAGTTAAAAGTTATCTAATGGTCCTTTATAAAAATATTTGTACTGTTTTGTCAATCCACAAACTGTCTAGCCCTGTTATCACAAAAACACTGCAAATAAAAAGTAGACTAAAGGACTGAGGACTAGTTTCCCAAAACAATATACCAAACATCTTTCTTTACGATTAATTTTAGACCTATAAGATGAAAAATGCAGATGAAAAAGTTTCAGTTATAGTGACTAGGGCCAATTAAAAATCAGAAAGCCAACTCCTCCGTTTCACAAAAGGGTTGGTTGGGCTCAAACAAAATTAGGGTAGGGAAAGCAGGAAGGAAATAAAAGCCTTTTGATTATAATAAAGAGGTCCCTACCCTTTGGCCTCTCCTCTCCTTTCTATTTTTCGTTATTCCTGGGTCTAAGCAACTTATCTTTTCCGAGTTTCTTCATGCACTTTTCAAGATGGTTTCCAACTTGTTGCCTCATGAAATTATCAAGGTACCTCCAGTGCATTGCTTCTTTTCTTCAGGAGTCTTCAAATGTCCTTCAATGGTCATATAGAAGAAGGAACAACTAGCAATCCTAATCCAGGTGTTGCTGCCAGATTTGATTTCTTCCAAATGTTTAAAACAATCTCTTTTCTATTTGGCTCTCTTCCACGTTCAGTTCTGTCAACTGCCAGCCTCCGATTCCTAAATCAAAACAAGACGATTGCTTTCACTTTTATTTTTGCACTGTTTTACGTCCGGGTTCAGAAAGAGAAAATGAAAAGGGTGTTTACAGAGAGGTGAATGTTTGAGGAACCTGCGTTAATCTGAGCTACAACTCTGAATTTAACTTTAGAATAGAATAAAATAGAATAACAGAGTTGGAAGGGACTTTGGAGGTCTTCTAGTCCAACTCCCTGCTTAGGCAGGAAACCATTTCAGACAAATGGTTCTCCAACTTCTTCTTAAAAACTTCCAGTGTTGGAGCATTCACAACTTCTGGAGGCAAGTTGTTCCACTGATTAATTGTTCTGTCAGGAAATTTCTCCTTAGTTCTAAGTAGCTTCTCTCCTTGATTAGTTTCCATCCATTGCTTCTTGTCCTGCTTTCAGGTGCTTTGGACAATAGCTTGACTCCCTCTTCTTTGTGGCAGCCCCTGAGATATTGGAACACTGCTATCATGTTTCCCCTAGTCCTTCTTTTTATTAAACTAGACATACCCAGTTCCTGCAACTGTTCTTTATATGTTTTAGCCTCCAGTCTCCTAATTATCTTTTAATATTATGATACACTGTTGAGATCAAAAAGGAATCTGGTATTTGCAGAAATAATTCTTGGCGGGCCAAAGCTGTTATTTACTATGTTGATTCTCTGCTGACTATACTTGAAACTCTTTTCAATTGCATCATTATAGGCACTAATCTCTCATATGTTGTGTTTGTCATATCCACCGCCCTGAAGTTTAGCACTGGCTCTCCACAGGGCTGTGTGCTCAGTCCCTACCTGTATTCACTGTACACACAATTGTGTATCATCAGACCCATCTACTGTGATCATTAAGTTCGCAGATGACACCACTATACTGGGTCTTATTACAGGTGGAGACGAAACAGCGTATGGGGGGAGGTTAAAAAACTATCCACATGGTGCTTAAAAAATAACCTGCACCTGAACATCAGCAAGACCAAGGAGATGGTGTTGGACTTCTGGAGGAAGAGAGAGGAACCTGCCCCACTTTACATTGAGGGGGGATGTGTAGAGAGAGTTTCCTCCTTTAAATTCCTGGGAGCCCATCTCAGCAAAGACCTCACCTGAAAAACAACATGATCCAGGTGGCCAGGAAGGCCCAACAGAGACTCCATTTCTTTAGGGTCTTGTGTAAAAACAGGGTGGAACAACAGCTGATGACCTCCTACCGGTCCACAATAGAAAGCCTCCTCACTTATTGCATCACGGTATTGCACACTGGTCTGACAGCCGCGGATAGAAAAACTCTTCTAAGGCTCGTTGCCTTAGAAGAGTGAGGAAAATTCTCAGGGAGACTCTCACCCTGGTCATCACTTCTTTACCCTTTTACCATCGGGAAGGAGATATAGAAGTATAGCCAGCCGCACAAACAGGCTGAAGAACAGTTTTTATCCGTGGGCTGTCAGACTCCTGAATGAGAAATAACATCATAACTACGTAGTATGATGGACTGCAGGGCCAGCGCAATGTGTAACACGTTCACACTGGTGCAATAGGACTGGGTGTTTTGTTAATATGATTTATTGGGTTAGGGATTTTCTGTCTTCATTGTGAGTTGCATTGTGTTGGGGGGGGGCTGCACTGAGGGAGCTCAACCAATCTCAACCAATCTCATTGTGCACTGACAATAAAGATTTGAAACTAATTGGCATAGAAGTTTACTGCATGAATGTGGATTATTCATTTCCATAGTAATTTACACAAAGGGCATTGACAATTCAGAAATTTTATTCTACTTTCTACACAAACAGGCAAATATTAAAAGAAAAATCAATCTTCATACCATACCATATTTCTTCATACCATACCTGCATTTCTACAGTCTCATTTTAAAAGGTCTCTCAAAACCAGAGACCTTTTGCAGAGAGTCCTGAAAAGAACTCTTAAGCATTGCACAGTACTGGAAGATGGACTGCTAGCAAGATCTGGATAAACCAGTCCTGCTCCAGGCCTCCATCCTTTTCCTGGAACTCACCACTAACAGTTAAAACAAGCACTGTACATTTGGAATCCAGAGGGGGAACATAACTCGTCTTGCTTATTTGTCTTCAATCACCCATGATGGAAAATGTGACCCAGAAAGTTTGATGGAAAATGATAGTGGAGAAGGAGAATATTTGTAGCTCAGGACTGAAATGAGGGGTCCTTGGTGCTCTTTGAGCTTGGCTGTTTTCTTGCAGAAGTTTCATTACTCAAACCAGGTAACATCATCAGTGCTAGTGCAGGATCTATCACCACAGTGAAAAGTATAAATCCCAGTGTACGAATAAAACTCACAAAACCAACAACATTGTAATGTTTACAATGTTATTGAATTTAGAAAGTTCTGTACAGTTCTGGCTACTTGGCTGCTAAAAATTGCTACAGAAAAGAGCAGTGAAAATGATCAAGAACTTCTCTGATGAGGTTTTCCAAGTTTGAGATTTTTGTTTGTTTGTTTAGAGCAAATGTGAGAGATGTAGAAAACACTTTTAAAAGAGTAACACATTTTTCCAAGAAATAAATTCATTTTTATTTTGAATCAATGTGACATCCCAATATTAAAATATTTTATAAATAAACCATTTCAAAATTACTATTCAGGATTTGGTGAAAAAACATCTGATAAAATGCAAGTTCACATACAAAGGCCACAGACCTGGGAATATTTTTAGGCACATGAATCTGTCAAGAGGTTCGTTTATATTCTGTTATCTTTTTAAAAGAGTACGCTATTATTTTCTTTATAAACTTTATTGACTCTGTTAGTAGTCTGCCAAGCTGCAAGGCTGACAACCTGGTTTTCAAAGAAACATTGCAGGATACTTGTTGAAGAGATGAAATCCAATAGTCTCTTGAGGAAAACTAAGGTAAGAAAGGCTTTTAGAATACTAACGCTGAAAACCTATCATGTATCGCTGAGCAAGATTTCATTACGAGGTTTTCAAAACAGGTCAGATCAAGCAAGTAGTTCTAGCATGCTCTGCATGGTGCTACATCATCTAGGAGATACCTTTAACATTAACACAATAGTTACTGCCATGATAAGATGCTATGCATATTCTTACTGGGAAAACAGTGAGTTCAAGGAATTGGGTGTAGCAATTCGAGTACGGACAATCTACATTGCTTCCATACGTTTATTTGAAGTATTTATATCCTCTGTATCTACCAGAAGCAAAAGTGTTGATATATTTCAATATATTTATGTGTCACTTTTGCTAGAGTTTTAAAGCAACCAACAAATTATCACAGCAGAAGTACAGCTTGATATTACATCAGATTTATTAATCTGTGTAAAATTCATTGCACTATGCATTATAAAAATCATTTAATTTTTTAATAATATAATATGCAAATCAGAGTCCTGATTTAAAAGAAAAACATATAGATGCGATTTATAGTTCCCGGGATCTATGGTTAACATTTTTGTGTAGATTTGTTCTAACCGTATGATCAACAACCTTGTTTATAAATGCCATGATACTCATTTTAAATAGTTCTCTGCTTATTCCAAGAGCAACAGTTAGGTAAATTGAAAGACCCAGATTGGTATATTCCCATTAAATTAACACATTCTGCATTATAAAATATCTTTATTACATACCTGTATCATCTATTTTACGCAGAAACAGGACAAAACTAAAAAATTTGGAAATACAGATGAGCATGTGTTTCCAGTTTTTTAGCATCAGAGGAAATTCAATAAACAGTAAAATGAAAGAGTTAAAAATGCAATTTTTTGATAAAAAATAAACATGTCTAAATAAGGCAAAACATTATTCCCAGATGTAAACAACTGCATAAAGATATCATTTAAATCTGCAGTAAAGAAATTAATTCTGCAAACAAAACTAACTTGCCAGTGTTTTGCATTAGAACATTTGTTTTTCCATTTCTAGGTCAAATGTGTTCATAAAAAAGAATCAGTTTCAATTTCTTTTCCTTTTATTGCATTCAGTCATTTGCATAATTATTTTAAGGTCTACTCTGCCAGTTTTTCTGTATCATTTCAAGCTTATTTTTTCTCTCAAGAAAAGAGGTGCAAAATCTCAAACTGGAGTGACAATATCTCTCTTACCTATTTAATTTTTGGCCACTATGTGTGGAAAAAGTGATATTAAGACATTTAACTTGCACCTTGAAGCATCTTTTAAAAATGCAGTCTCACAAAAAGGATAGTTGTTAATGTGTCCTAAAAGTGAACAAAATTCCATATTCAACACTGTTCCATGAAGCAGTTGCTGGCAAAAATCCCATACTGGGATAGATTGTATCTACATTCTCAAAATGAATGTATTTTTAATAAATATATTTACCATCTTAGGAAAAAAGTGGTTAGTCTTTTCTGGAAGCAAATTAAAGGAAATGTTCAAGGTATAATACTGTGAGCAATGCAGTTTCATCAGCATGTTGTGGTCTTTAGAATAACTGAATTCTCTTCTGTATGCTTTGTTCTATTTTGATGTTTCAGTGCTTTTATATTTTTAATTCTGTAAAAAAGCAAATGGAAAAAAAGACATTCTCATAACATAATCCTCCAGAATAATTTAAGCATATTTCAATTTCATATTTAAGAAATATGAAATTGTTCTTTACTATGCAGTAAATGTGTCTACATGCCTAGCTTCAAACCAACACTGCACAAAGGCATAAATGACAAAATGTGCATTATGAGGTCAGAAAGATAGTCATCCCTATCATATTTATGCTGAAACACTTTGTGCAAGTACATAAGGAGTAAAATTGTGCTATTGTGTAATTTCATTAAACTCTATTTTCACCCCTCTATGGAAGTCTATGGCTATGTCATTTGAAAAGCCTACTGTAGTTTATATAGGCTTATCATATAATACAAAAGTAGCATTCTAGAGACTTCTGGAAACTACCTAGACATTTTGGGTTTAGTGATTTGGAAAAGATGACAGAGATGATCTTGACAAAAAGCTATTGGCCCAGAATAGTTATACTCAGGAACAGAGTGAGCATGCTTTGAAAAATATATGGTTGCCTTGTTATGTTTAAACATGTCTTACATGTGCTCACCTCATCTTTTTCAGCTGTGAGGAACTTACTATAGACCTAAACCATGCTTTCAATCTAGGATAAATAATTACTGAAAATGTTGTTGTGAAATTGTTGTATAGCTTTAATTTACAGGACTGTGATTTGGTCTCAAAAAGTTAGAAAAGGGACAATTGGAATTTCTCTTGCGTATCGTAACTCTATTCCTTAGGAATTTAATAATAATTTCTTAAATGTTAATAATTTATAATTTACTAAACTTGTATGCTGCTAACTCTCAATGACTCCATGAATTTAGACTCAAATATTTCTCCTATTATATTATTCTTCATGTCATTCTTTTAACTATCCTAATATTACAATATTCTAGTATTTTCTGTAATAAATTTCAAATGCTTTCCCAAAATGATCTGCTGCAATATTAGCTGGGATTTCTGCTTATTTCTATTCTGCAACATCCTTACCCTTTAACTCTTAGCATCTGTTCAATAGTGTCCGGGAGAGGAGTGCCATAACTTTCTGGGAGAAACAGGGTCAGGATTCCTGCAAGCACAGTTAAACTTCCCATTAAGATGTAGGGAAGAAATCTATCATAGGCACCTAGTAGAAAGGAGAAGTAGCAATGAGTTACTCATGTCCAGATTGCTTAACAATTTACATTTCCTAATATTGTGACTTTGAGGTATGGTTTATAGATTTATTTGGATCTGATCTGGAAGATGATCATGACTTCCTCAAAATGAAGATCAGAAATGGAGATCAGCTTCTCCATCTCTATACATCTTTCCTAGCAGCAACATGTTATAAGTGTGTACACCAGAAACCAGTAAGCATTTGCTGTAATGCTAAAAAGCAGGACATATGATCTTGAGTTAGGAGAAAAGAGGCAACTTACCAAGATATACAAAATAAGGCGAGAGAATGCTGCCAATTCTGGAGGCCATTGAACTAGCTCCAACTCCCATGTTTCTCACAATAGTTGGGTACAGCTCAGCAGTGTACACATAAACCATTGAGAAGGAGGCTGTGATCCCAAATTTTCCAATCATCACGAGGATGAGGGACAGAACACTGAGGTCTATAAGCAAGAGCCAAACAAAATGAAATTAAAGCTGCCAGTAAAACAATAAAACAATTGCCTGCCTTTTTATTCTTCTTCATTTATAGATAATCCTCACTTACCAAGTGCCTCATTCAACAACTGTTCAAAATTATGATGGTGTTGTCTCTAAGTAACCCAATTGCCACAATCACATGAATGCCATTACAGTCAGTGCACATTGCCCTGTGCCTGACCTGTTGTTTTTCTTTTTCCTTTCACTGTACAGCAGAGAGTGGAGAGAAAAGGATTACATGAGAGTAAGATGGCACACAGTGAGGAAAATACTGGCAGTGTGCTGAGCATGCTCACTGTTGCCAGTGCCACCGGATTGCTTTCAATGTGTATTCTCCATCATGGGCCTGCTTACTCTCTTATAATCTCTTTTTCCAAAGGGCAGGGAAGTGATTAGGAGCCTGATTAGTTTTAAGCCAGAAACTGATTAGCTTTCAGCCAACTATCTCAGCACTGTGGGTTGGGGGGGGGGCATTCCAAAGGGTGGGGGAATGGAGAAAAGGAAAGCAGTCATGGTCATGTGATTTTTCACTTAATGGTCATTTAGCTTAGTAATGGGGTTATCAGTCCCAACTCTTGACAGTTAATGAGGAATACCTGTATTTTATTATACTTCTATGGTATATTAACTATTTGGTTCTGCTTCAGGCAAGAGCCTACTTTACCAGATACATCTACTGAATTAGATTTTCTACTTTTTTTTTCTAATTATGAAGTGGAACATCAAATGCAAAACTAATATATTAGTGTTCAATTGCCACTACAGTAAAGAACAAATAAATAAAAGAAATCAGAATTACAGCACATCTTTTTTTATACCACTAGAGCAGGGGTGTCAAACTTGCAGCCTGCGGGCCAGATGCGTCACATGCTGGCCATGCCCACCCCCGTTTTAGCAAAGGGGGAAAAGTTGCAACATGTCACATGACATCGCGAGTTTGATACCCCCGCACTAGCAAAACAAAATGAACACAAAATGTAATAGGTCTGCAACATATCTCTGTGTATCATAGCATTACTATGGAATATTAAAAAGACTTAGTTAGCTATCCCCATGGATTATTTCTAAAAAATGTCAAGGAAAGCAGTCTTACGTGCAGGCACGAACTGAATGAAAAGAAGAACACAGCCTCCTAAGAACAAGACTCCTGCCATTGAATAACGCCGGGGCAGATGCTGAAGGAGCAGCCAAGAGATAGTATAAGCTGGGACTTCAATTACTGCTGAAAGGAAACAATTGAGGTAGATGTCTCCATGCAAGTTAGGGGTATCCAGAGAGAGGCCAAAGTAGCCTATGGAAATCACCATCCTGAAAGACAGATCTAGGTGATAATAAACATACAGGGGCAATGACACTATTCTGCATGGACTTGAGCTGTGCCATACAGGTAGACTTTGCAACCAGTGGGCATTTATGACTGTTGCAGTCTCCTATGGCCACATATATTACCTTTGCGCACTTCACAGTCAGCTTCCAAAAAGCAAAGTCAATGGAGAATCCAGCAGTGAAATTGCAAGTCATATCCACATGGTGTCTCATCCAATGACCATAAGTGATTTGCTTAATGACCCCGGGGGAAGACAGGTTGTGAGTCTGTTGTGGTCATGTGAGGTTTTGCTAATGACTGCATCACTAGTGACAGAATTGCCAGTCCCAATTGTGGTTGTTAAATGAGAACTACCTGCATCTCTACTAGAGTGTTGCAATGACAGAATATTTATTATGTTATACACTTTGAGGTAATTTTCCATGTATGCACTTGTATTCCTTACTTTAGACCAGGGGTGTCAAACTTGTGGCCTGCAGGCCGGATGTGTCACGCACTGGCCACGCCCACCCATTTTAGCGAAGGGGGGAAAAGTTGTGATATGTCACGTGACAATGTGTCATTGAGAGTTTGACACCCCTGCTTTAGACTGTTGATACATTTTTATATTATTGGCAAAACAATTGCCTGTAAATTTCAGAGAGTAAATATTATTAAAATTTCTTTCCAGGGCTGTGCTCCAGTCATACAGAATAGGAAAGCGCCTTTCTCCCTTTGTTATGCACAGAAATCCAAGATGAGCACACAACCGAGTACTGGACATGTATAACTTTTGCTAAGGAGAAAAGATGATATAAATTGGGGCATGTGTGTGTGCATGTGTTAATATACATCAATCTTTATTACAGTCGTAAACCAGCATAAACAAACAATAATTATTCATAGCTCCATATCTACAAGGAATCCTTAGCTGAACTGTCAGCTGAGGTATAAAATGGAAGGCCGTGGGCATTACATGAACAACAGAGAAAGGTGGTTTCTAGAGGCCAGCCACATGCTTAACAATTTACATGCTGAAATAGTGTAACTGTAAAAAGAGGCAGAACGTGTGTTTTAGTATTCTTTCACGTTCCAAGTCATTCAGAATACCTATAATTAGCTAACCAGGACAGACATAATAGTTTGTATGCGGAGAATTTAAACTTGCTCCTGGAAACAGTTCAACTAGGAAATCATCTGAGACTGACATACTCATATTAGGCAGAGAGATATGAAATCTCTAGAGTGGATGATATTTTGAAAGCTAATTTTCAAGGACAATGGTACTTGGGCTAATAAATGCTTAACATTTAGATCGATAAATAGATTTCCATGAGCAAGTCTAAGAAGTGTCCCATGCCCTTATTTATCTGCAAGTAAATAAAATAATTTCATGACATTGTCTTCTTGAAATCTGGACTTTGGAAATGTGGGCATTTTCTAGGAATTGATTTATCAGTTGCTTACCATAGAATCACAGACATGATAGTGATTGTTCGTATATTTTGGGTTCTCACTAGGTCCAAAATGCTGCAGGACTGCTGAACTTGGGAATTCAATGCTTGCAGCTAAATAAAATAATACATGCATATGAGAATCAAACGACACCTGTTGGCTTATAAGCAGATAACCTGCAAACATTACTTATTTGAAAAATACAGTATGTTAAGTAAACTGCTGAAAATTGCCACAAATGGCATTGAATAATTTTCACATAAGAAGTACCTATTTTAGAATCATGTCCCAGTATCATGTTATAGAATCAATAACCAGCAATTTCATGAAAAGGGTCTGGAAGGCTTTGGACTTATAGGACAGAATATTTTAATTCATGTTATTTTTGTCCAAGCACAGGAGCATAGCAATAAATTATTCACAGATTCAATACACATGGTTACCTCAGCAAGATCAAATATTACTTCGGGGGCTACAACATGGTTCCTTTCTGCAGCTTTACGAATGATATCCTCTGCTTCTTGAATCCTTCCTTGAGAGAGAAGCCAGCGAGGAGATTCTGGAATGTACCTACAAGTATTTCAATACGTCAACAGAATAACTGGAATTGCAAACCTGATATGATATACATATCACCAAATATTTTCCCCACGTTATCAAGCAAATACTATTTCAGGAAAAAAGATGTCCATTAAGAAAGTCTTTAGTCAGCTACGAATGCTTGGGTTAAAAATATATATACCGTCACATCAGAACTCTATCTTCAGGCTGGCCTGCTGCTGAGGGAGGCTGAGGCTGGATCAAAATGACCTGGAAGGAAACTAGTATTTTTCATCAGACAACTGCATTAAGTCCTCTTCTGAGTGAATGTTTTATGTCACATAGAAGAGGACTCTGAGAGAATTGCACAGCTCCAACTGGCTCACTGAAAGATTGCCTCTTCTATCCAGCTACAGGGCTCTGTGCCAGTGGGACTATTTCAGTTTTGCCTGCCAGAGAAAACTGGTTAACTGGGCATCCAGGAAGTTTTCCCTCAATGTCAATGTTCCCTTTTCTGGTCCAAAAATTACTGAAAGGACTGGTTGTCCTTAGTGGAGTATAGGGAAGAGAAGGATAACCAGGATGCCTCTTCTACTGAATTTTCTTTTTTCCTGTAAAATGTAAGTTGATTGTTTTGCTGATATGCTATTTAGGCATGAAAAATGCAAAGGTATAATAAGATCATTCGTTATTTTATAATGTCTGCAAATGTGATTTTTCTGGTTTACATCAGAAAGCTTTCAAAGGCATGAAAATGACCCACCGTACAGAGTGGACAAAAGTAAACAGGAGTGCAAGTAACACAGCATTACTTGCTCCTAATTTTAAAGGTGATGTGATGGAAACGTGACATTTGTGAGTTTGGGAAAAAATAAGCTCTCTGAGGAAAGGCCAATATAATAATAGAAACTCTGATCAGGCCTGTCGCTGTCCTGATGCTCCACCAATACCTTGGCTCTGATTGATTAAATTAGCTGCATCCAAGCATTTGAGATGGAGTGGCTAAATATATTTAAACTTGTTCTAGAAATAAAATAACAGATATCTCAAAATTTGAGGCACAGCGAGCAGGATTCTAAAGTATTTGATAACTTGGAGTATCTTCTCCAATTTTTAAGAGTACAATGGCACCATCTTGTGGTGTAATATTTTATATGCTTTTAACAAATTATCTGCACAGTTGTTCAATGGCAGCATTGTTACATAATAGCTTTTTTCTATTTTTTTAAAAACCGTTTTTTGGAATTAACTCTAAACTCAGAAGAATGATTTGATTGAAGATCCTGCTGAATAAACATTATTACAATGTATCTTCTACATCAAATTACTGCCAAATAATAAACAAACCAAGATAAAAAATCATAGAACTGCAAGAGATCTCAAAAGGTCATCCAAATCTGTATTCACAAAACACGCTTAATTAATTAGTTACAACCTACAATGCATTTACAGCATAGCTTAGTTTTTTTTAGAAAGTTTGGAAAAATGGATCCACTTGGTTAATTTCCAATTCATTATAGCAATAGCGACAGCACTTAGACTTATATTCCGCTTCATAGTGCTTTTACAGCCCTCTCTAAGTGGTTTACAGAGTCAGCATATTGTCCCCAACAATCTGGGTCCTCATTTTACCCACCTCGGATGGAAGGCTGAGTCAACCTTGAGCCAGTGAGAATTGAACAGTGATTATAGATAGTCCTCAACATACAACCATAACTGGACCTTGAATTTTGGTTGTTAAGTTGTTGTGGTTGTTAATTGAGAGGCCCACATGACTGCTTTGCTTAATGACCACAATCCTCGCTCTCTCAGTTGTGGTCATTAAGTAATCACGTGGGTCACTGAATGGATGGAGTGAAAGAACTGTCAATTGAAAGAGGGTAGGCATGAGATAGCCATGAGTGGAAAGGAACGTCTGTGGTGGGTTGGAGAAATGAAGCTCAGATCCCAAAGATCTGAGCTCCCTTTCTCCAGCCCACCACAGGTCTTCCCCTTCACGTGCTAGCCTTTCTACTCTTCAGAGACATCGCATTTGCTAGCTTTCTAGCCAGAAACATTGTAAGAGATGGCACTCTCCTTATGATTATCCTGAAAGTTAGAACGATCCTCTTTTTATCTTTCAGAAATATTGTGTTTGCTAGCTGTCTGTCTGCACCTCATATCTTAAGAGTTTGACACACCTGTCAGCAGCTGCACAAAAAGGCAAAAGTAAGTGGATCTGGGTCTGGTGGGGCAGGGAGAGGGACTGCCACACCAGATGTGGTGGAGCGAGGCCTCCTGTGTTACAGCAGCTTTATGAGTGCTGGCAAGACGGGTGGGTGGCTGAGATAGAAGGGAAGAGACATGAGGGTGGGTGGGTGGGGGTTGCAGCATCCCCACAGTTGTGTTTGAATTTCAAAATAGATCCTATGATTTTTTTATGTTACCAACCAGTATACTGTAGAAATATATTAATACAAAGGTTATTATTAGATACAAAAATTAAATGTGGAACACTGTTTTATTGCTAGATGGATAGTAAAAATGAACTGTGTATCAGAAAATACAGTATTTCAGCTGGACTTTTATACTTTTAAAATGTGCAGTGAGGACTGAATATCCTAGAGCAGGGCTGTCAAACTCCTGGCCCGCGAGCCGGATGTGTCACACGCTGGCCATGCCCAGTTTAGCGAAGGGTGGGAAAGTCCCGATACATCACGTGACGCCACCGTGATGACATGAGTTTGACACTCCTGTCCTAGAGCATGACTATTGCTTATTATTGTAAAAAATGCTGCTAAATCCTTTCTAATAAAGTGAGCATGAACCTAATCTGGATGAATAACAGATTGTGCTAGACCAAATTTGAGAGAAATGCACGTTTCCCAAGTCATTCTCTCTTGCGGGCCTTTTTCTTAGTCTGAAACTTTAGGGGAATGGGTCAGAAATTTAATGCACTAATGCTCTTCATTGCACAATTGCATTCACTTGCATTGCATTCAAATTTTAAATCTTTCTTAACAATGTAACTTATTTTTGTTTCCTTAGGAATCCAATCCAATTTAGTCATTTTTGTTTGGAACAGATTCATTAGCAAATAAGTAGCAAAATAATCACTTAGTACTACTGTTTCATTAATAAATCAAAAACCAATTATCAAGATTAGCTGGTACCCATTGTACCTTAATTATGTCAATTATCACAATTAACACAAAGGGTATTAGTTGTCATTAATTTGGGAAGGGCAATGGGGACTTCAAAATAGTAAACACTCACCACCACAATGGAAAATATAACAGCCCAGGAATAGTAAGAGCCATTAACAGCAATCGCCAGTCTCGAATGAAGTAAGCACCCAGTGGCAGCATCATGTAGCCAAATGCATAAAATATGCAGACACCTAATGTGCCATATATAATGCGGATGGATTTGCCAAGAATTTCTGCACCTGTTCAAACAAGGGAGAATGAATTAATACGTTTACTGTAATATACAAACCAATTATTTTATGTACTAAATATGGGAAAAAACTGATAAAAAATACATTGAACTGTTGCTTCTTCTGTGAGTTTATATGCAGGTAGCCTTCAACTTACAACCACAATTGAGTCCAATATGTTGTTAAGTGAGAAATTTGTTAAGTGAGTTTTGGCCCATTTTACAACTTTTCTTGCCATGTTTGTATAAGTGAATCATTGCGGTTCTTAAATTAGTAACATGGTTGTTAAGTGAATCTGGTTTTCCCATTGACTTTGTCAGGAGGTCGCAAAAGGGGATCATGTGAGTTTGGGACATTGCAATTGTCATAAATGTGAGTCAGTTGTCAAGCATGGTCAATGTAAATCATGTGACCATGGGGATGCTGCAAGGGTCGTAAGTGTGAAAAAATAGTCGTAAGTCACTTTTTTCAGTACTGTTGTAACTTTGAACGGTCATTAAATGAATTGTTGTTAAGTCGAGGACTACCTGTATGTCAACCATTCTTACTTGAGGGAATGCAGAATCAGATCTGAACTGGTACTTTGGAGCCAGCCTGAACACTCTTGCTCTACCTGTCAGCCACTCTTTCAAGGCACAACCTTTTGGTAGTTTGTATTATAGGTGCACAGAAAACTATGTACTTTGTGTTTAGAAGATAATATGCAGTGATAGCAGGTTGTGAGCATATATTACTACCATGTTGTCACTGATTCTCCAGAACCTGCAAAGCTACCGCATAAGCCAAGGAAAAGGTTCTTTAAGCAGTTGCTGACAGATATAGTGATGATACCCGTGCTGGATTTGAAACATGTTTTCCCACAGATAAATGCACTCACATACTTATATAGGGACAAATAAAGAGAGGGATAAGACATTCAGAGAAATTAACACCCTCTATAGGAAGATTCAGACATGGGAATAGAGGACGAAAGAAGACCCAGGTGCACATCTACAAACACATTCATAGGAAAGAGATGGAGGAGAGGAGATTGAATCACACAGATAAAAAACATTTTCCATAGGAGAAGAATTCCTCCTCTCCTACAAACCGTTGAGCAAGCTGTTAAAAAAATATTAATATTTAAATAAGGAGAAATAATCTACCATTGCTGAAAAATGACTGGAGAGGTTGAGAAGCTCACCAATTGGCAAGTGTATTATAATCATCAGGGCCATTAGTGAGGAATAAAATTGTTCCTTCCAGCTGACGTACACTGAATGTTGTTAATGCCCTTGCAGGAAGGATAGTGCATGGTCAAAACATCAGAAGAGTTTAAGGGTATCTCATATCAGATGCTCATTCTAGTTGTATACAACAAATATACATGTTAAATGCAAGTTTAAAACAAGAAGGTTGGCTACCAGTTCTACTTTTATCAGACACATTTTTAAATTATGTTCTGCTTAGCAATGTTGGAAATACTGTTGTGGAGAAGACAGAAAGAAACTAAAGATGCCCCTCACTGAGCCAGTGAGTCAGGCTATTGAGAATTTCTGTTTGCATAAAGACAATCACATACCAAGAACAAACGCTGCCACATAATTAGATATTTGACCCATTCCAACAATAAGAAAGAGAACAGAAAACATCTCCCAGCTTGTTGAGAAGACCTGGATAAAGCTAAAGGCAGTCTGGATCCCCATTGTTACAAACAGCACATTCTTCCGACCAAATCTGTAATGAGACAAAAATAATAACAAAAGCAAATCAGACGGCTAATAAACAAGAGTTTATGAAAAAAATGAACAGGCAGAGACCAGCTAATTAGCATCAGAAAGAGATGCCAACTTTCAAACATATGAACAATGCTATACATGATACAAATACATGAAGACAGCAGTGGAATCTTCTTATGAAATTTCAATAAAGTTTTAAAGGAAGAAAGATGATGATAAAGATTCTTCGTACAAGTTTAAATCTAATGCATACACAAAAAACATGAGGAAACAACAAATGGTTGGATTTTAGAACCTTAGAGCGACCAAAGGGATAGGAAAAGGAAAAATGGCATTCCTAGTGGCAGCCTCTTCACCCTGGAAACAGATTACACTCTGAGGTAAGGCTATTCTCCCTGCTTGATTGTTTGGAAAACAGAAGAAATACCTACATCTATGGAGATTCTCAATCATCCAGGTCATGATTGTTCCAAAGGCGCTTTTTCCAAAAGGCAATTGAGCAGCTTCTTTGATGAAAAGCAAAACATTCTCAAAGAAAAAAGCAAAAAAGCGGAAAAAGCACCTTTGGGACAACAAATACCAACCTTTTCTTCAAGTCTTTTGTGGACTTTTTACAAAACAGTACCAGATTTTAAAGATTTTTTTAAAAAAGATGCTAATATTTTATTTGCACACAAAAAAATTGTGAACTGCTGATGTAAACAGCATACCAATAATTATAAATGAATAAATGTTATCTAATTAGAGATAAATATATAGTGCTGGGGAAAAAAATGACATCCTGAAATATGATCCTGAATGAGTTGTGCATAAAAATAATAAATACAGAGCTTATCATACATATTCTTTACCTGTCTGAGAGCTGCCCAGATATAAAGGATCCCAACAGCACACCCACGAACAATAAGGAGACAGTTAGTGGTGCTTTCCAATCATTGTCACAAACAAGTTTCCACTGGAAAAAAAAAGAGGATTAGCATTTTAACTTGTTTTAAAATATCCGTTTTTAACTTATGATAACATTATTTTCCCAACAACCATTCCAAAACCTATTACATTATTAAAAATGTTTACAATTATTTATTATTCTCATTGTCATATGAAAACAATTCTCTTAAATTCTTATCTGTTAAGGCTAATTTACATTATGCATTCACAAAGTAGGGAGAGCAATTATACAAATAGTTAAATAAATATTCATCAGAATTTTGGGATGACGACGACAAATCAGCCATATATTGGTTATTCACACAAGGCCTTGGCTTTTAACCTCTGTTTGCTTTAAAACTGTTTAGTAGGTATACTGACCAAAATATTAGGGTAAAACAGTGTTCATCAACCCCATAAAAACTGCAACAACTACTACAGTGTGAAGTTTTTCCATTCATCTTTACAGGCAGCTATTTGTCTACAGTACTCCATTTTACCACCATCTCTCTTTTTTCCATTTCTCCCCACTTGAGTCAACCAACACAATGAGCAAATTCAAACTTAGGCTATCTATTTCATTCTCCCATGATTGATTGGTTTATTTGAGTTTTTATTTTTGTTTTGGAGAGGCTCTAGTACAATTATAACTAGCTATTTTGACTACATAAGTGCCAACATTTATAGAGCCTTGGTAGTACTAGGGTTTAAGGCACCCTGTTATTAAGCTGCTTAAGACCAGCTGCCTGCAATTACTGCAGGGTTCGAATCTCGCCAAGGCTCAAGGTTGACTCAGCCTTCCATCCTTTCTAAGGTAGGTGAAATGAGGACCCAGTTTGTGGGGGCAATAAGCTGACTTTGTATAAATATACAAAAGGATGAAGGCTATTGCTGAGCACATTGTAAGCCGCCCTGAGTCTTCGGAGAAGGGCGGCATATAAATCAAATTAAAAAAAAAAAAAAAACATTTGAAGAAGCAAGACTGCTATTTGTGTAGATGTCACACACATAAATTATATAGCCTGCTGGTCACTATGAATAAGTAGAAATTTTCCATTTTGAAAATAAACTGAATGTTAATGCTAGGTTTCCTCATTGTTTTCATAACAACATAAGGAGTTAATTGCTAGGCATAGCACACAAGCAGTGTTAATGATAGCAGAAATCAGTACTACATTTTGTCCCACACTTTCAAGCAGTTTCTAGTGGTCATTTTAAGTCAGGTTTTTAAATGCCCAGAAGAGCAAAAGCCTTTTATTATGTCTAGTTAAAGCACTTAGTTTTGCACAAGAACAGAAAATGAACCAGATGGCTAATTTTTGTGAACTGTCTATACTGTATTAAAATCACCTTTGAATGACATTTATTTGGCAGACACAGATCAGATCAGTGCAGATAAACAAAGGGTCAAGAAGAAAAAATGAAATAAAACATGAAATGCTGTAACCTGAGGCCAATTTTTTACAATATTATATGACATATACAACTTATTTAATTTTGGCTTTGCACATGGTGTGAATATAGCCAATTAATTCACAGACCATGTTAATGGCTTTATATGTTCTAAAAAGCCAACCAATTCTAATTTATTCAATAAAACAAAATTAAACAAACTGAGACTTGGCTTGGTACAACATGTGGATTCAATCTATGGTATATTCCTAGTGATTATAAACTGCAGTAGAAAAACCAGCTTTTATAATGTCACAAATTATCATCTATTGTCACATGAATAAAATGTAAATACTGAATATTCCAGAATGAAACAAGCAAAATGGGTTAAATTGTACATTGTTACTTGATTCAGTTCCCCAATTTCGAAGAATAGGTGGAAATAATAAATATTTCTCTGACAAGATTTTACAAATATCTTTCAGAACAGCAGAACTCCATCACTTTTATCATCCTGGGACTGACTAGCGGAACAATATTAATTACTATTGAAGTTATTTTTGCACAGGGAGATTCCACCACTACCATGCAAATGCAGAATTATACTATGACAGAGAAATGTTGCTTGGACTGAATACACTACTGTATAGCATATCAGCTCAGGCAAGAATTATTTTCATTCTCTAATGCTTTCCAAGATAGGTTACTGAAGGTCACTGACCTAGGCTGCCCACTTATTATAGTACTATATTTAATATTACTTTTTTAGACACAATACACAAGATATAGAAGATTGTAGTAAAAGAAAACTTAGCCATAGTTCTCAAATCTTCATTTACTAACACCACTGCTGTTCTGAAGGGACTTGAAGACCTGGCTCTTTCCCTAGCATTTAGCAAGAGTAAGCCAAGCCCTTTTGGATAATCCTTTTTTTTTCTGTTCGTATCCAATTTCTGTGATATTTGCTATCATTTATTTATTTATTTATTTGTTTGTTTGTTGTAATTGTTTAAAAATGTTTTTACTTGTGAACTGTCTAGACTTGGTGCGAGTTGGATGGTACACAAATTTAATAAATAAACTAACAATTCAAAAGGGCTAAATTCAGAGATGACGCACAGGAGTATGCAGGTCAGTCAGTCAGGCCATCAATCAATTTTATTGCGGTCTCAGGGCCAATCAGAACACAAGATTCGTCTTCTTAGTCAGGAATTCAATAATGACAGAGAAGGAGGAGGACACTGAACAGTTGAGGTCATATTTAACATAGTATGTAATGGCATGACACCAAAATGTGAGGTAGATTACTCAGCATGTGATATTCACTTAGCCTAGCAAATACTTGGGGATTATATTTATAACCTCCAACGACATTCAAATGAAGTAAAATGTATCCAAGAATATTTGGTGACAGAAAAAGTGTGTTTAATTTTGCTTTTTTATAACCTTTTAAAAATACAAATAAGGTGTTTTTTTTTCAAATGTGATATTTGATTCCACTCCCCCAAACACTAGGGGAAAATACTTTCTATGGACTCAGTTGGATTTTGGAGAAATATTTGTTGACTTCCTTGCTTTTGATAATGTATATGATAATGGGCTGAAACATGTTCATCTGTGGGTCAGTTAATAATACAATCTACTAGATCATTGCTTCTGCAATGAAAAAATGCATTTAAAATAAAATTCACTTTTTGGAACCGAAGATGAAACAAATTTGTTTGACTAAAAATGTGAGGTAAGGAAAATCTCCTGCATCCTGCTTATTTATTTATCAAATAATTTTTATCAAATTTATCAATTTTTTAATCAAACTTATATAGCTACCCAAACAAATATACGTACCACTTAATCTTTACATCAGAAATGGGCTGTATGTGACCCTCCATTTAATGTTCAAGTCCCATCAGCCTTAGCTAGAATGCTAATTGGGAAGACAGAAGATATCAAAACTCCTAAGTAGTCCAGACAAAGAAAGGAGACTTGAAAATGGTTAAGACTATCAGCTTTTCTCATCTCATCCCAAAAACAGCTGTTGAAAAGCAGCTGTAGAGGTTTTCAACTTTTCTCTCTTTCTTACCGTTTTATGTAGAGCTGTGGGATTTTGGTTGTAAAGCTTTTAAATAGTATTTTTCATCTGTTTTCAGGAATTCTGAACTGTAGAATGATTGTAAACACTTTTGGAGCAAACTGAGAAATGAAAACAGTGGTCAACTGGAGATGCCTGCTAAGATTTTAGTGTTCAACATTATTTTTCTTGTTTATCAAACAGCTTCAAAGAATCTCATAAAATTCTCAAGTGAATAACAGATATAAATGTGTCAGTCTGCTCTAGGTTAACTGTCAGGTTCATGTGGAAAATGCAGATTGTACACATGCTGGTCTATGACCAAATAAAGAAATGTGTCTGTGTGTGCGCGTGTGTGTGCAGATTGTGCTAACAACACCACAAACCAATTATTTCAGTGTTAAATGCAATTGAACTTAATTGGCCCCTCTTAAAAGAATGCTCATAGGAAACCTAAAATATGGACACGCTAACTGTCTTATTGGGTCAGAATTTATATCCACTGTGTTTTATTTGTTGACATTTTTAAATTAACTGAATGAACAAGTATTATCTAATATGGGTACATCATGTATACTTTTGAAGTTATCAGGAACTTGACAGAACACTTATTTGAATCAAAATCAAAGATATAATGGCCACCCAAGCTGAAAAGTTAATAGTTCCATGATTAAATGACATTCAATTTAAAACAAACTATAATCTTTTAGTTTTTAACAAATCTTCTAACTAGAGCATGGCAAACTTTCCATGGGGGTAATGAACAACATTTGTTTACTGTTAGTAAACATTAGTAAAACAGTGGGATGCATCACATGTTCCCTATACTGGAAAGTTGTAAGAATCACAATGTACATCAGTGCTCTAATCTGCAGAGGCACATGTGATTAATGATCTTGCAGTCTTGGCATAAAAGAGTACACTCCAGAATTGAGCACTGTCTCAGGACTGCAGATTTATTACAAAGATAAATTATTACAAACAGCAAAGACAAAATCCAAATCTGCTCAAATGGATACCAGAAACAATTGCAGCTGCTTTTCAATAAATATAGTTAATTTTTAAATCTGTATTTTCTATTTAGCCACTGTCTGGAATTTTCTGAGAAGATTAAAAAAAAATTAAACATCAGAAAAGGTAAAAAAACAAAACAAACAAAAATCTGGTTGAATAAGCAAGACAGGTCAAAGAAATGTAATAAATATAAAAGTCTTAATCCTGGTACAGGTAGTCCTCGACTTATAACAGTTCATTTAGTGATCGTTCAAAGTTATTTTTATTGATTTATTGTTGCTTTCATCTTACTTTTAAGTAATATAAAACCTGCCCAAACATTGTTGCTATAGTATGAATCTAGAAAATGCACTGCAATATGCTATTAGTGGGAAAATGACCAATATATTTTAATAATCCAGCTAGAGTCAGAGTCTCAGAGTCTTTCTAGCTCTTACAGGGTAAGAGCTAGAAAGATGGGCTAGAGAAATCACAGATTAATTGGAATCAACAGAAACATTTGGGACAGGAAGATGAAAATCAAAAGGCCAGAATCAGAATAATAGTCAAAGGCA